CAGCATCAGGGTGTGTGCCACAGCCAAGCATCCCTGCTGTAGCCTCTAAAGTCTGCCAAATTCACCAATCTCAGAATATCCTCCAAGTAGGGTAGCAGAGAGTGTGACAGCCCCAGTCATCAAGTATGAATGAAAAAACCCTCAGTTTCTCTGATGTACCATAGGGTTGCATCACACCACAAAGCAACACAAATGATCTTAACCCCCTGCGGTTTAAAGAAGTGATACAGCTACATGACTAGTCTGACTAGAGCATTTTTCCCCAGGAAGAGAAGTACCTTAAATCCCATATTTCTGCAAGGTCTGTATCACCTCTTAATCTAGTAAGAAAAAAATTTAGGCTATAGCATATAATTACTTTCACAGGTGGAACCCCTTTTTAAAAATGTATTTTTCCCATCTTAAGATTATATGGTCCCACTCTCAATTCATTTAATGTTAGTATATGGTGAATGTGTCATATTTTAAAAAATTATACCCATTCTAGTCATGGTAGTGTTTAAGAAATGTAAGAGTAACTTCTGATCACAAACTCATTTTTGTTAATCATAAACGATTAATATTAGAGTCCATTTTCAAATTCTAAATTAATGTTTTACTCCAGCAACTCCTATTAAAACAGAGTACCTAACCCCTCCACAGCTCTTTCATATTAGTCCCTAAAAGATTTTTCAAAACAAAACTCAGGGTATCTGACTAGAGAAAGAGGTGTATCCTCATTACAAGGGGTTTATGTAGGGCAAAGAACATTTATAGTATTTTACAGTATTAGCAGGTAGATTAAAATCACATTTTCAGACTTAACTGAACCTTGTTGAATTAATGTAGGTTAGTTCTCTGAAGGCAGAAGTCATTATTAGTGTCTTCCTTAATCTCTCCTGGGAGAAGGACATACACCCTGGTAACATCATCTTAGCACTGGTGAGAGAGGTCTTAGCCAGCTTGATGAGAACTGCAGGTTCCTCTCACAAAGACATCCAAACTCTCTGGCGGACACTGGGGACACAGAGAGGCAGAAAAGGGCTGGGTAGCCACTGAACAGAGACACACATCATGTTGGTCCCATGGTTGCACACAGGATATGCAGGTGGCATGTAACATGCATGTGGCATGTCAGTCTGGTTTTCCCACCAGCTCCTTTTGTGGGGACATGGTCCTGCCTTTGCCAGAGGCTCCCAGTTCTGACCAGTCTGAAACTCACTGAGGCTGGCAGACCAGAGCTCCTGCCCAAGACATCATCCGCTTTTGCCCTACTTTTGTAAAAACAAAAAACCCCACAAAACAAACCATGAAAAAAGCCTCAACAAAACCCCAACAGAATGCCCCAAGCAGGTATTCTCACCTGCTTCTGAACTCTGAACTCAGCAGGAGTCTGAAGCCACGAGCCACTGTTTTTCATACTGTAAACCAAGTATTTGCCCCTTGTGGTCTGGCATTGCTATTTAGGACAATGCACATGCTAGACATGTGTTTCCCCCAAGATTCAGTTCCAAGGCAGCCAAGGTAGCCATGGAAGGAAGCTGTGAGGCCAGCCCTGCTGCACACATGCAGTTAGGTTCTGGCATAGACACCAAGCCCCAGAGCCTGCCCAGAGGCAAGGGGGCTTGGAGGAGCTATATCTGGTCCTCCCCAGGTGTTTGGGCTGTGCACGTGGGCACTGTGGCAGAAAGGCAAACTCACATCAGGTCACAAGCAAGGAAGAGGGAGTTTGACATCACAGGATTACCACCATGACTTTACACATGGGTGAGAAGCAGAACTGCCGTGACATGTAGCATTTACAACAGAAAGATGAGGAAAGAAAGAAAATAAAAATATTTAGGTAAGTATACCCCTTCTGAACAGTCCCCCACTTCCCACTAGGTCACGTTGCTACCAGTGAATGACCCACACTACCACACACCAAACTCGTCCTGAGCACACATCATTAGAGTTTCTTAATACTCATGTTACAATGCCACTGGGAGATCTGGGCCAGGAGGGGTGGGAGAGGATGATGAAATGTTAAAAAAATAATAAAAATAATAGAAAGAAAACAAGAAAAAAAGAGAGTCAAGACATTCCCCGGAGACTCGATGGTAGTGCATGAAGTTACTGGAAGAACTCCCACTGATTGTAGTGCAGTTTGGGTCAGTCCCCCTGATGCACCGTGGAGGTTCTGCAGTCCTTTGAACTCCGTATTATTTCAGTGAATCTATTCATGCTTGGCTGTGTTAAATGTATTCTACTAATATTGCATCTGAAATAGAGTAACTTATAATTCAAAACTATACAGCTTGGGCATGGGGAAAAAAAATTGTGATATGTTTTCAGTAACGTATTTGGTGCCGTGCAGCCTTTCTGCAGAGTGCATTTCACTATGTTTTGTGTATTATTCTTAACATGCATTCACAGTAGACAGCAAAGCAGCAGTTATGGGGTATGCTGTGAATGCATATTAACAGCAGTACACATTTGCATATCATGGATCCATAATACAAAATGTGTAGAAAAATCCTTACGAAAAGTTATTATGCATGCACAGTAAAGGCTTTTTAAACCTTGATATCTCAGCTATTTTGTTTCTCCGCTATTTATTTGAAAATATTAAAAAGGTCAAATGATGGATTAAGAATCTGCAAAAAAGGGAAAGTTACTACTACAGAGGGAATCCTTCAGCACAAACTAACTCATTTATTTTTGTTTTAGTAGCAAGATAAAGTCATTCAAAATGAATTTTATGACAACATTTGAGATGTTAAAAAAAACCCACAACAAACAGATCCAAAAATTAAAAAAAAAAAGGAGCGAGAAAATATTTAATAAAGGCATATTTTGGAGTCTGGGTGATATACCTGGAAATTTAGACAGTCCTTCCCTTAACACAGAGACAATACAATGTCAACCTTTCCTTCAATTTCTCATAGTATTTTTAGTATGCGTTGAAACAGGGCTTAGTTCCTCAGGACTTTGCATATTTAGATATTGTGCATTGTATAAAACTCTGAATATGCAAAATCCTTGAAAAGGTTGACAATCCTTAGGAGCTTCCACAACACAAATCTTAATACATAAATTCCTATTGAGAATAACGGGATTCTATTCTTTGCTCTGTTACACAGATTGTAGTATTTGGGATAAAATGAAATGAATGTCTTGCTCCTTCTGAATAGTTGACACATAAGTTTTAACATCTTTGTCACTTCAAATACATTTACCATAAAAAATAAAAATTTTAAACAAACAAACAAGCAAAAGCTCTTAGCTCTGCAAAGAATGAATGACCTGGTATTTCTTACTTCTGTGAAAAAAAAAAAATAAAGTTTGGGGAGAGGGTTATTATTTTATTTTTTTTCTAAGAAAGGCTCTAAAATCATTGAGCACATACACAGAGGTGTACATAACACTATCTACACAGACAAGCATATCATTCTGCCTAATTTTTTGTTCCTCTCTCTAATCGAAAAATGCCCAAACAAATTCAAATGAAACTTTGAGAAAACAAAATAATTGGACTGGGGCTGTGAACATTAATGCCAAGCTTGGGCCCAATGTGAATTAAAGCAGATGAGTTATAAACCCTTCAAAACCAGGATTTATAACAGAAACGCTGACACAGACCCATAACAATAGCAGCTCTGCCAGGGATTATTTTAATACTAAAAGCATACTCAGTCGCTCACTTTTTAAAAGAGAGATTACTTGGTCAGTCAAAAGCAGTGATATGCAATAATAATGAAAGCAAACTTAAAAAAAATTAAATGTTTCTAAGCTGCCATGTCATTCCCCCTGTAACTCTCTGGATATCGCTTATATGTGATGTGCCACTCCTTAAATTAAAAACCCCACAAACCCCAAACACACCAAGGTGGAGTTTGCCATAAGCTCCATGGCAAAGCTGAGCCGAGAGGCTTTGTCAGCTTTATTTAACAGTTTCTTGCCCGTGAAAAGAGACAAAAGAGTTAAGGGAGGACGAGCAGGGAGTGCAGGAGAAGCAGCTGACAGCAGAAAGAAGGGCACGAAGAAATGGAGCAGCCAGGGAGGCAAACGGAAGAGCAGGGGGAAGATTTTAGGAGGAGGAAGAGCAAGTTTCTGAAAAATATAATTCAGTTTTTAAAGAGATCTTGGGGAAGCATTCACAAAAAGGCCACACAGACAGAGAAAATCTGGCAGCAGGGGAAACTCCCCAAACACCCCAAGTTATGCCTGTGTTGGCGCTGCCCCGCAAGTAGCAGGTGCCCCAGTTGCATTGCACCAGGGCAGTACGGGGTACCCCTGCCATGCACTTGGGACAAAAAGTCATCATTTGTTAAACCTTCACATTGTGTGTCCAGTTTCCCGCAAATGCCTCTTTTCTTTTGGCAATGTCAAAAACCACAGAGAGATGTGAGGGGAAGATTCCTTAAAGCCGGCAGGTTTGCCTCGGTCACCCTGCCCTCTGGGGCAACTCGCTGCGCTCAAAAAATTCCACACCCCAAAAATCACTCCGAGCAGCATCACACAAAAACTACTTTTTGTGACCATGCTATGCATTATAGCACTGGCATTACTTTCCCATTCCTGCCTTCTCTTCCTTGCCTCTTTTTTTTTTTTTTTCCGGGGTACCAGGTGCACCAGAGGGACTCAAATCAATACAAGACAGTACTTCTCATATAAACAATACCATATTAACAACCACAGGGCAGCCGTACCTGTAGGCAGGGATAGCACCAAATGTTGGCACGTCTATCCGTGCAGCTAGACTGCTAAAAAGATGCAGCTCCAGTGGAAATGCACCTACTGTATGTGAAATGCTGGTGCAGATTTTTTTTTTTTTTCATTTTTTTTTTTTCTATCAGTCTAACCTTCTGTGTTGATACATGAATGCTGGTACCCACTTAGAGGGATGCCAGATGATCAGTGCAGAATGAAGGTCCCAGGAGAAAGGCTCACGTGGTTTTCTCTGCCCCGTGACGTCACTAGCAGATGGCATGGGTACCAGCTCTGGCAGTTGGCATCAATGTCACTTTTTAGAGATCAATGAGATAGTGCAGATATACACAGATCTAGACTCCAGGAGACGATGCGACATTCAGACTGAAAAGATTTGGAAGGCAAAAAATGAAAACTGATTTTTGAATGAAATAAAAAGCTAAGGTAATACAAATAAAGATATTTCAGTTGGTGCTGGGTGTGCATGCAAGTGTTTAAAGCTACAGTATCATTGTCTTGTATTTTATGTATGCTATTTACTGTCTAATAACTCCTCCTAACATTTTGTTCTTCTGATGCAATTGCATACTTTGATTGGTGTTATGTAATATTGCAAGTGTGTAGACAATATAGGTAGAGTTAGTCTTTGACTGGGGTTTTTGTTTAGTTTTGTTCTATTAAAAAAAGAGTCCCGGCATTCGTTTTGTTTGTGTCTTTGAGGACTGTGGGGGATCCAAGCTTTTGCTGCTCCCAAACTGCAAACAAAAGCAAAATAATTGGGAAGAGGAAATTATTTTCCCATTCCAGGCTGGATTCTGAGCACACGTGCAGGATTGCAGTCAGAATCTACAGACCGCTCCTGTCAGCTACGAGCTGGAGGGAGACGTCTGAGCCTCGCAGAACATAAACACTGCTATAGTGTGCAGGGAAATTTTCACCTCCCCCCCACTGCAATTGTTGGGGGAGAAAAAAAAAAAAAGGGGGGAAAGGTAAAGAGAAAAAGCAAATAAGTTGATTCTAACTAAACAGATAATATCATTAGGATTTTTGCTGGGAAAAAGGAAAAAAAAAAGAAAAGGTAGGGGGATTTTATTTCCTAACTCTACTCTGAATACATTTAGGGTTAGATAGTTCTGATTTTCATCTTCATGTAAAATAAGTAATATGTGATCTTCATACAAACCATTACAAAAAAAATTAAAATCTTAGTTTTTCATTATACTACTAGATGAGTGCTTGGGGGGGGTATGTCTTTTTTTTTTTTTCCTAACCCACTCTAACTTGCTGGAGTTTAATATCTTGATTCATAAGGGAAAAAATGTGGAGGGGAAAAAAACCTTTACAATAGAAGTCAAAAAGTGATTTAAAAATATTTATCCATCAGTTACTAGAGATATGTCACTTTTCAGTATTAAGACTGCTCTCGCTCTCCTCATTTTTTCACCCAGGGGAAATTGGATTAATGAAATTTCTGTATTGCTTTTTCATGCTTTGCATTTCTTTGAATTCCAAGGTGGCGAGGGTTGGAAGGGCTTGTTTAAAAAGAAGATAAATGAGCGGGGAGTTAATTGTACATTTGAAATATTGATTTACTCTGTATTTATTTGTGAGAAGCATAGCTTTCTAGTCGCAAGATCCTGAATGTTTCCAGTGATTTTAAGATTCTGGACAGCTTTTATTTTTTAAAAAGCAAGCATTTGCAACTGACATTTTATGCAAAAAATATAGACTGTGCATTTATACATAAACATACACACACTCACACAAACAGAGCGTGCACGCAGATGCATGGAAGTTGCATGAGTGTGTGAGTCGGCGAACTTTAAAAATGGAAATATTTAAATATTGTGCTGGCATTCTTTCAGGTAACTTAAGATTATAGAACCATGTTAACACTACCGTTTGATGAGTCTGTTGTAATGCCAGAATCCCAGATGTGCAGAAAGTTTTCCAGAGAAAGTGATGACCAAAAGCAAATGAAGAATCCAGAAAGCTTTTCGAAGCAGATCGTGCTCCGAGGAAAGAATATTAAAAGATCTCCTGGAGAAGACACAGAAAAAGAGGAGGAGGAGGAGGAGAGAGAAGAGGAGGATGAGAATGGCTTGCCTAGGCGAAGGGGCCTTCGGAAAAAAAAGACAAGCAAGATAAGGATGGAAAGGATCAAATTTAGGCGACAAGAAGCCAATGCTAGAGAGAGGAACCGGATGCACGGCCTTAACGATGCCCTGGACAATTTAAGGAAAGTGGTCCCTTGTTATTCTAAAACACAAAAACTGTCCAAAATAGAAACTTTAAGACTGGCCAAGAACTACATTTGGGCACTTTCTGAAATCCTGCGAATTGGCAAGAGACCCGACTTGCTCACCTTCGTCCAAAACTTGTGCAAGGGTCTGTCCCAGCCAACTACAAACTTGGTGGCGGGATGCCTGCAGCTGAATGCAAGAAGTTTCCTGATGGGCCAGGCAGGGGAAGGTGCCCATCACACCCGGTCGCCCTACTCCACCTTCTACCCCCCCTACCACAGCCCCGAGCTCGGCACTCCCCCAGGGCACGGGACTCTTGACAACTCCAAGTCCATGAAACCTTACAATTACTGCAGTGCTTACGAGTCCTTCTATGAAAGCACTTCCCCTGAGTGTGCCAGCCCACAGTTTGAAGGTCCCTTAAGTCCTCCCCCAATTAACTATAATGGGATATTTTCCCTGAAGCAAGAAGAAAGCTTGGACTATGGCAAAAATTACAATTATGGCATGCATTACTGTGCAGTGCCACCCAGGGGTCCCCTTGGGCAGAGCTCTATGTTCAGGTTGCCTACAGAGAGCCACTTCCCTTACGACTTACATCTGCGCAGCCAGTCTCTCACCATGCAAGATGAATTAAATGCAGTTTTTCATAATTAATGAGGAAAATGAAAATAAACAGTGGTCATTCACCTCCCCATCTAATTAAGAGCAAGCAGATGCTTGGGCACTGCGTAATTGGCACAACTCTATTTAACGTGTTTACTAGTTCCTAAAGTGTGTTTCAAGTATTGTGGGGATTTTCTATGTATTAATAAACCCTTTTTCCGATGAGCATTTTTCCTTTCGTTTTTTTTTGCCTGTAAACGCTGTGAGATTCTGTTTCCTCTCAGAGGTTATTTCCCCCTTTTTTTGTTTTTTCCCCCCTTCTTATTTCCCCATTTGCTTGATTTGTTGAGCAGTGTGTCTGAACACTATCGCTGAAATAAAAGCATACACACTGTGTAAAGTCAATGTCTATTTTGATTGTACAGTAATTATACAAATGCATGTTATTGAAATCAGATTAATAAAAATGATGTATTTATAATTGGTAGAAAATATATATTATGTATTTGAGGAGAACTGGATTACAAATATTCAGAACTTTAAAGAAATTATCTCAGAACTGAGATGGGCTTGCAATATGCAGAGGTGAGAGTGCAGCAATATTGAAAGCTATGCAAAAAAAAAAAAATGCAAACAAAAAAACCCCAACAAAACAGGTTTTTTGGTTGTTGTTTTTGGGTAAGCTAAGGAAAACCACTGATTGTCACTGACATTATTCAGCCTGACCTTTAAAGTGTTGCTGGCAAGGGCCACATGCTAATATTTTAGAAGATGTTGTTGAAATTTTGCCTCAGTTATTTTGACTATATATAATCAGCACTTTTTTTTGTATTATTCTGACTTCAGATGTAAAGGTTTGTTATAACAATGTATAACTGTGGTTTCTCACTACATACTTTAAATGCAATTAAACATAGATGTTTCCACTTTTAAAATACATCTCTTAGCTGTGATACTGTATTTTGCCTGATACTTATTATTTCACAGTATACAGCTGTGCCTTTGGTCTTGCTTACACCCCTGCAGTGCTTGAGCCTGGGGATGGAAATCAGAAATCATCAGGGCGAACCTCGCTCTATTTTCAGAAGGAGGTATTAGAAACGCAGCAAAAGCTGACCCAAAATAACACAGAAACAGCTGCGTGCTAAATAAAACACGAGTTAGAGGAAGAAGGTAACTTCATAGCTCAAGGAAACTCCGAATTTCATATGGGAAAGGGCCCTGAGTGGACACGCAGGCCACAAGCTGCCCCTCCAGCGCTGGCTTGTGGAGGGGTGCAGGAGTGCGGGAAGCATAAAAATTGCAGAGAGAAGGAGTCCCTGAACATTGCTAAAGTTAGTCTTGGCTAATGAACAGCACCACTAAACTCCAGATGCATCTGAAACCCACATTAGTCTGCATGGCCCCTGGCACCTTAAAAGAATTGAGCTCAGTGGAGACTCAGCTGGTTTTTAACCTCTCAGGCCTGTTTCTCAATAAGCTACAGGAGAGATAAAATGAATAAACAGGTAAGCTAAAAGCCAACAGCCTTAAAACCTCTGAGTGAGCTAGACCTCTTGATTTTGAGGGATAAATAGCAGCTACCTGACAAGCATTCAACTGAAGTACCAACACTGTGATTGAGCTGTGAATAATTAAAAAAAAAAACCCAAACAAACAACAACAAACAAATACAAAAACCTACTTAAAAATGCATATTCTGACTTCAAGTTAGGAAGCCCTGGCTGAATCACAGTCTGGGTCACAGTTTGTTAGTGACACATCAGCCTCAGATTGTCACTTGAGTATGTAGCTTGACAAAGAAGGGACAAACCAATATTTCCTAATAATTCGCCTAATTTTACAAGTAGAACTTGTCATAAACAGCCTGCACTGTCATGCATTGTAGATCCTTCAGGACAGCAGCCTGACATTCATCTCTTCTAAATAAGACCAGGTTACCCCAAACTGTTGGGGAGGAGTAACAAGTCCCAGGGTTCAGATCAGAGTATAAATTCTTCCAAGCTTCCAGAAGGAGGGGGGCAGACATGGGATTTTGCTCAACCAATAGCTTCTCTAGACACAAGTAGCAGGTCCAAAATAGATCCTTTTGAAGCAGAGTCTTGTTCAGGAGGTTTGGCTCAGAATTATCCCACCTTTCCTCAGGGTCAGGAAATATGGAAGGCACGGGCAGCAGTTTTCTGCCTTGGATTAAAGGTAATGGTGATGACCGTCAGCTCAAAAGCATCCCCAGGTGTTTTTCACTGAATACAGGAAGGGGTTGGGGAAAGAAAAGAGCTTTTGTTATTATTCAGAATTAGCTGATATTCAGCAAATTGTGAAAAGGTGTCAGGAGAGCAGAAGGGGGAAGAAGCCAATCAAGGAGAGGAAAACATTCAGTCCTGGGCACAGCTTGGCACAAAGAGACACTGAGATATGTTAATATATCACAAGGAGCTATAGGTAAGTATCTGCAGAAATGGGGGATTCTTTGAAGAGGGGCCAGATGCCCTTCCCCACTGAGGAGCAACAACAAACTTCTCTAACCAAGTTTTGCAAGAAGGGCCTCCTCCAGGAGGCTGAAAGTTAGCTCAGTGCCTCAAAGCGGCCTTGCTGAACTGTGGAAGGGTGCATTTGCCTAAGTTGAGAGACAAGAGAGGAGGCAGCTGTGAAGACCTGCACCAAGGAGAGGAAACGCCCGCTGCAGTCCACTCAGCAGGCACCCGAGGGCTGTTAAGACTTCAGGCTGTGCAATCTGAGGGTCTCCAGCTCTTTGGTCCTATATTATCTCAGTACCTCGTGGGCCAGTTCCAGTTTCCCCTTCTGGCAGCAGAAGCAAAGGGAAAGGGGGAAAAAAAAGAAAAAGAAATCCCTGCCAGTTCGGATCATTCTCGCTCACTCCACGACAGATGGGGAGGCAATTCACAGCCAGATTCCCCCTCTGGTAGCTCAAGGCAGGCACCACACTTGCTTAGGGCATTGCAAATTGGAAAGCCAGTCCAGAATAAATAATGGAGCAAGTCATAGAAAAATATTGAGACAGCATAAAAAACCCTCGACATTCCCTGTCTAGGAGGGTATGGATTATTTAAAGATATGGAGGTAGGGGATTCCCTTGAGAGCAGGCACTTTTGCATACCATCTCTTTCATGCACATGGCAAATATTTCTGTGCTCCTTCACTGGCCAGTCACGGAACACAAGGTGCTCCGAGCTCTGTCATGATTTATAAAAGCCTTTGAAGTCGCCTTATTTTAGGGAACAAATCTGAGCTTCAGGAAAGTTCTGATGTTTTAAACTCATGGGAATAAAAGCCAGTGGGTTTCTTTACTCGTAATCTCTGCTTTATGAGGTTTATTTCCTTTCAACCCCATTCATACAGCAAAACAAAGCTGCTCATTTCTGCCTGCCTTCTTCTCCTCTTAACTGCCTTCACTTCCTTGAGGATAGAAATATGTAAAATAGCAATTGCCCCAGCAAAATTAGGTGAGAAGTTTCTATTCTCCCCAGTCCTCTAGCACAAGAGAAATGAAGCCTTCTGTCAATTTTAGAGGTGGGAACCCCAAAGCTGGCAGAAAAAAAGCTATTTCAAATGTGGTTTTGTTACACAGTGGAACTCTTTGCCATTTATTATTTCCCAGAGTATAATTTCAGTGTGATTTTTAAAAAGCACTGTATGTTTTTATGGTACCAGAAATACACTAATTATTTAAGAATGGCTGTACTGGTTCAGATTAAACATCCATCTAACATAATATTCTGTTTTAAACATGAAGGCATTAAAAAAAAAAAAAAAAAAAGATGTTCAAAGATGTCAGAGCAGGGTAAATAAAATAAATATTTGTTTCACTAGTAAAAATGCTGGAAAAGAAACTAAACACCATGTTCCAGGATTTCAGCCAGCCCGACTGAAGACAGGGATGTGCCTGAATTGGAAAGGGGTGGGAGGCATGACAGTGTACTGCTGGGTTTGCATGCTTTCCTCTGCAACACTGGACTTACCAGTAACCACTGAACAGGAGGGACTGGGTAGAGCTACCTTTACTTCTGAACTCTGCCTCAAAAAACGCCTAATCAGAAGTAAATTTTAAAACCAATGGCCCTAGCCCTGCAGTCTTACAAATCCCAGTGAGATGGCAAAGAGGTAACCACTGCTTTGCCAGAGCTCAGAGGGGATCTCAAAGCTCCTCTGCATTACAGAAGGAATATGCTCATTTTAGGGCACATCCTGGCTGTGCTCCCTTTGGGAATGCCTGCATTCTTTCACTTCATAGCTATCTGCACAGATTTTTAAAATGTATGGAGATTGCACAGACACAAACGTGACTGCAGGTTTTTTCCTATACTAGCAATTCTCTCTCCTGTTTTTACCCCGACTTTACTTTTCTCCCCTTTGCCTGTAGGGCTCTGAAATGGCAGCAAATTAAGTGAAATGTCATCAATAAAGATGAATGAAATCCCAGTGAAACACATGGCAGAATCTTTCCTTTCAAAAACAAATAATACTTGCCTACATTAAAAAAGTAACTGCATGGTTTTGGTTTTCAGCTTGTGACAAGACTATGGTTATATTTTATAGTCCATATCCAAGGTCAAAGCAGGTTTAATCCTGGTACCAAAATCCTACAGCTTTTGACATACAAATAACAGAGATGTTACTGCTTTGGGCTGAACTGTCAGGAAAGCAGCTCCCTTAAAAAAATTCAACGATTTCCAAATTAAAAGCAAAATCAAACAAACAAACAACAACAACAAAAAAGAAACACAACCCTTTAATCTGGTTGTGGGTCTGACCCAGAGCTGAACCATGGCAGCAGGTTGTGATTTTGCTCTGGAGAGACACAGATCAGCATGGTGAACAGCTGGCACCGTGCCACCACAGAATCTCAAGGGCAGACCTGTCGTGTCTCACTGATACAAATCTAACTACCAGACACGGGGCTGCCATGCAGAATCCTGCTCCCAAGCCCTCTCCCCACCTCACAATCAGACCTGAGCGAGTCGTCTCGCAAAATTCTTGCACGTTATGCCAAAAGGATGGCCTATTTTCCTGCCTTCCCCCCTTGCCCCAGAGGATGTGCTAGAGTGAGCTAGGAGGGAAAAGAAAGCCAAATTCACAGGGAAGACAGCTCTGGAAAAAATAAAATGTTTCACTTTTTTTTTTTTTAATGCCTGCAGTATGGAGTCCTGATTTTGAATTGGCATCACCCAAAAAGGTTGTTATAGTGTTGTAAAGAAGTTTCCTCCCACTTCTTCCCAAAAACACTGATTTCTCTTGGCTGTTTTCCTTTGTTACTACCTCCTTAAACTTCCACTTTTATCCCTGTAGCTGTGCTACTTGTGCTATTTAATTCTAGGACACCATGTATGCAGAATACACCACACAGAAACAAGCCAGATCCAGCTGTAGCCCAAAATCTGTACTAAATTTGTAGGTTAAATGAAAAAAAAAAAAAAAAAAAAAAAAAAAAAAAAAAGAGGTAACTGAAAAAAAACCTTTACAATTTATAATTTTCTAGGATATTCAGTGTATCCCCACCCTAGTGAACATTATGCTGTACTTTCTGATATTCTGGATGGGGGTTTTTTCCTACATTTTTGTAGAGCACTATTGAGCAAGTTTGCTTTTTTTTTTTC